CGTTTCCGACCTGACGTTCCCAGACTTGAATGTGAAGGCCAGATTTCTTCTCATCGCAGAGGTCGCCACCGGCTTGATGTGTGGAGACATCACTGCGAAGATCGGCCTCAAAGACAAGGGCACGGATTCGTCAGCTACGCTGTTCACGACGTTTGCCAGAGCCTACCTTCAACACTATCCCAAGCCAAGGTGGGTTTTCGTCGATCCTCAGCCATCTTTTGTGGGTGGCGAGTTTAAAGACAACTGCCAGTTGGCCGGCATCGGCGTCTCAGCGAAACCAGGAGGAGCACATTGGATGGCTGGCGACATCGAGCGCCGCATCTCGACCGTCAAGCAGGTAATGAGGAAGCTTCGCCTACAATACCCGAAGCTGAGTCCCGAGACCGCGTTCTACATCTCGATTGCGGCGGCCAACAACATGGACAACATCAAGGGCTACACGCCGATGCAGTGGGCTTTTGGGTACTCTCCCACCGAGGACCCAATCTTGGCGCATAACGCAGCTACTGGCAAGTTGAAGTCCGACTTCTTCGAGATCGAGCGGGTACGAGCGGATGCAGAGGCGACTTACCTGAAGGAGAAGGCGTCCAGGAAGATCTCTGAGCTGAAGAACTCAGCCCCACGACCTCGACATGAATATAAGCGAGGCGACTGGGTCTGTGTCTGGCGGTCGTACGCTGCGACTGGGAAGCGAAAGCTTTCCGGACAGGATTTCTTCACGGACGGCCTCTTCATCGGACCGGGCAGAGTTCTGTTCTCCGAGCCGGCGGTCCAGACAGGCAACAAGGACGGCGTGATCTGGGTCATCATGGGCAACCGATGCTGGCGCTGTGCAGCAGAGCAACTGCGGCCAGCCACGCAGTCGGAGATCGTCCAGATCAACCTGAAGAAGGACGACATCCTCAACAGTCCGCTCGAGGATGTCTGGAGACACCTCCAGGACTTTGACGACATCGCCGGGGAGCCCTCCCCAACGGCAGATGGCATGAGGATGCTACCACGTCAACCTCTTGAGGGCATGCCGAGGGTGGTCGAGAATCCCGATGTGGCCGTGGAGCCCCACGACGTCACGGAGGCAGATGACGACTTGGAGGTCGACGAGGACAACTCAGCACCTGAGCCACCACAGACTAAGCGAACAAGATTGAGAGGCAAGCAACCGACTGTGTCATGGCCACCTGTACCGACTGAAGCTTTCCAACCGCGTTTTGGGAGATCATCTTCATCAAGAGCCTCAGCTGAAGTTGCTCACGCTGCCCTCTTCAAGACGGCGAGCGACCATGCGGAAGCCAGCGAGACTGACATCATCAACTTCGTGCAGGATCCGAATAACGAAACCGAGATGGACCTGATGAAGATCGAGATCGAGACGGACCTTGAGGAGTTCTGCTTCGATGCGAGCGCGTATCTGGAGAAGCAGCTGAACCGAGTGGCCAACAACACGGTCAAGAAGGGTGTGGAGGTTTCGTTTGGCCGCCTGAGCCCCGAGGAGAGGCCACTGTTTCAAGAGGCAATGGCACGGGAGCTGGCGGAACATCTGGAAGTACCGACAGTCCGGGCTGCATCAGCTTACGCTGACTACAATCATGGGAAAGACATTCCAGCGGACAAGCTGATCAAGATGAGGTGGCTACTGACCTGGAAGCCTTTGACACCACCTGAACCACCGGACAAGTCGGACCCACACCCCGTGAGCACGCCGGACGGGAAGTTCAAGGCGAAGGCCCGTATCATTCTGTTGGGCTTCTCACATCCAGACCTTGTCAGTCGGGACAAGTTCGGAGATCGGGTACTTCCCACGGCGTCACCAACCATTTCAAGAAAAGGGAAGCTGGCACTCCTCCAGATGGCTGCTTTCCACGGCTGGACCTTCGAGCTAGCCGACGCGAAGTCCGCCTTCCTGCAGGCCGGGCACACCGAGGAGTGGAGGAAGCTCTACACGAAAGGCGTGAAGGAGCTCCGGCAGGCCTTGCAGATCAACGAGGAGGAGTCCATGAGAGTCTTGGCAGCGATCTACGGGATCACGAATGCGCCGTGGGTTTTCTGGAAGTACGTGGACCACAAGATCCACGAAGCAGGAGGCAAGAGCGTCCTCATCGAGCCATGCATCTGGATCATTCAGGACCAGAACGGCACCGTGTGCGGGGTCATTGGCTCGCACGTGGACGACTTTGGCATCGCAGGCGACAGCGACAACAAGTTCTACCTCGACATGAAGAACATGCTGAAGGAGATGCTGCGGTGGTCTCCATGGCGAAGCACGCCATGCATGTGGGCAGGCATGTGGATCACCCAGGAGCCATCGGGCAAGATCCATGCTAGCCAGGAGGAGTTCTGTCACCAGCTCCTCGAGATCAGGGTCGATTCCGGCAAGTACCTCTCGAAGGATGACAAGCTCAAGCCGGAGGACGTCACCCAGTTCAGGGCAGGCCTGATGAAATGCCAATGGAGAGCGACACAGACAGCACCACAGTTCTCATGTCGGGTGTCACTGTTGGCTCAACGGGTGAACGAGGCGACGTTCGGAGACCTGAAGGACACGAACGCCCTCATACGCGATGTGAAGCGGACAGCTCGTGATTCCCTGGTGTTCCACAACTTCAATAGCAACGGTGGCGGTAAGCTGAAGTGGGACGACCTAGTGATCGTGACGTGGGTCGACGCAAGCAGACTACTACAACGAGGAGGCTACATCGTGGCGTTCACCACGGCCGAGATCCTCAAGCAGAAGGAATGTGCAGTATCGATCGCCGACTGGAGATCGTACAAGCTCAAGCGCACCGGCATCGGCACCAACGGCTGCGAGGGACAGGCTCTGTACGACGGCGAGAACGCGGCGTACCTGATGCGCCTGCTGTGGTCAGTCATGCACGGAGTTCCAGTCACCGCGCACACTCAGGAGGAGGTGGCGCGATCCATGACCTCGGTGCTGGTGATCGACAGCCGAGGAGTTTATGATTCAGTTCACAACAAGGAGAGTTTCGGCATAGGCCTGAGCGATGCGAGGACCGGCGTGGAGGTTCTACATGTGAAGGCGAACTGCGGGCCCGAGAAGAACCAGCATCTGGTTTGGGTCCCCTCGGACCTCAATCTCACCGACGGCCTCACGAAGGACAGTCCCGAGGCAAGGAAGCCTCTGGCTCTGTGGCTTGCACGGCGTACCTGGATCATCAGGTACGATGAGGATTTTATGTCAGCCAGGAAGCGACAGCGAGCCAACAAACTCGCTCAGGACAAGCCGCAGGCATCTACCGACGCTGAAGCCGAGGCCGCCGACGCTTTAGCTTTTCTCGACCTATCTTGAGGATAGGGTCGGGCTCTTTCTCATCATTCCTTTTCATATTCGTACTGTGCAGGGCCCCTCTTTTGATCCAGTTCGGTCGGAACGGTTGAGAAGGATTTTAGGCTCATGTCGAGCCGAGGCGACTCGAGCGAAGTTTTGAGTCAACCTCTCCTTCCTCACTCTCTCTTTTGCCGCCGCCTCCGCGGCTGTATGGGATCGAGGAGGGGGCCCCCTCTTTTGTGCAGAGAGCGCGGCAGACACGCTCGCCGGCACGGGCCGGCGCCAGATGCTCGACGGACGAGCACAGCACATCTCATCGTGCAAAGTACAGCGTCGACGTTAATCACGACAATAACCATCATCATCAGCAGCAGCATCATCGTCATCATCATCATCATCATCATCATCATCATCATCATCATCAACATCAGCATCAGCGTCATCGCCATCATCATCAGCAGCGGCATCATCATCACCAGCAGCATTTTATCATCAGCAGCAGCATCATCATACTCTTCACCCTCATCTTTATATTCATGATCGACGTCATCGACAACATCGTAATCAGTAGCCTCATCTTCATCACACAACATCACCATGTTCGAACTCATCATCATCAGCATCGCAACCACCATCATCATCAGCAATAACAGCAGCATCATCGTAACTGCCTCCACCGTCAGACCCTCCATACATCATCATCACCTTCACACGAAATCATCAGCCTTATCATCATCATGCTCGTAATCACCACCATGACCATCATCATCATCATCATCATCATCATCATCATCAGCAGCGGCAGCAGCAGCAGCAACATCAGCAGCATCGTCGTCACCGCCTCCGCCGCCATCCTCTCCACATATCATCATCAGCATCATACGTCATCACCATCATCGTAAGGATCAGCACCATCGTCATAACTCATCAACATCATCATCATCATCATTATCATCATCAACATCAGCAACAACATTGGCGTCACCGCCTCCGCCGTTATCCTCATCATACATCATCATCACCATCATGCGTCATCATCAGAATCATCATCATCATCACCATCAGCATACATCATCGTCATCATCATCATCGCCACTGCCATCATACACCATCATCACCATCGTCATCGTCATCACTATCATCATCACCATCATCCACGGCATGAGCATAAACAGCATCATCAGCAACATCACCATCATCAGCATCACCATGATCGTCATCATCCTCACCATCGTCAACACCATCAGCACCATCGTCGCAATAATCCTCATGATCCTCATCACGGTTGTCCCAAGCCTGGAACCACGAACGAAGTGTCACACGTGACTGCCTCCCGTGCCCCCTCGAACAGTCGCCACTCAGACTCCTGGGCTGGCACGCTGGCGGGATTTGCCGCATGCAGCTGGATACGCTAGATATATGAACCCCTGCCTCGGATTCTCTTTCCGACCTCCTCCTTGAGGCCGCACAGAATGGGGCCGGGGGCTCGGAACACATCGCTGGCGAAGCGCAGTCCTCCAACCCCATCTAATGCGCTCCAACCCCACCTGGGCGGCCCAGGTCCTCCGTCCTGAGCCTGCGCATCCCGAGAGCTCTGTTTTTGCCGCATCGCACCACGAGGAGAGGTCGTGCTGCAGCAGGCCCCCGGCGACCCCAGACCTGAAGAGCCGCTTGGCGCGCTGCGTCTGGTGGCCCCTGGCCGCGCAACGTATCAGCGTCATGTAGATGACCGGGTTGAACTCGAGCCTCCTGCGTGGGTCGGCTGAGAGCGAGGGGGGAGAATGAGAAGTAGGCCTTCTCAAAGGCGGCAGGGCTTGTCGGAAGTCATCTGGCCTTCTGAGAAGGTTCTGGTGTCTTCGGGGAAGGCTTGGGAAACCTTTCAGAAGGCCGGGGGACTTCCGAGCCTTCTGAGACGGCCCGCCCCATCTCACTGCCCCCCCTCTCTCGCCGCCGAGTGTGGGGAGACCGCCTCCGAATGGGGCTGGAGTGCGGTTGGGAACTTATGCTTATAAAGGGGCCCCAGAACACACAAATAAATACACATAAATAAAACCATTCCCCATAGGAGCCCATATTTTCTGGGCTCCTGTCTTCCCCCCCACTGCCCACACTTTCCCATATTTTCTGGGGGATCGAGGATTCATTGCGTCTGTGTGCTTCTTTTCCTCCCGAGCTCAGCGCGTCGCAGCGGCAGCCCTGGCGACACACGCTGCGCAGTGCAGGCGGATGGCGCGTCGCTCCGCTCCCCGCGGCGGGAGGCGGGGAGAAACTCGGGACGTCGAAGTCTCGGGAATCGGTACGTGGTGGTTAGCGTGTCGCGCCGAGGCGTGGTGGGCCAGGACCGGCGGAGCGACACGCTAGGCATCAGTTTCCGAGCCTTCTGAGACGGCCCGCCCCATCTCACTTCCCCCCCCCTCTCTCGCCGCCGAGTGTGGAGAGACCGCCTCGAAATGGTGCTGGAGTGCGGCTGGGAACTTCTGCTCAGCGTGTCGCGGCGGCAGCCCTGGCGACACGCTGCGCAATGCAGGCGGATGGCGGGTCGCTCCGCTCCCCGCGGCGGGAGGCGGGGAGAAGCTCGGGGCGTCGAAGTCTCGGGAATTGGTGCGCGGTGGTTACTCCAGATTTCGTAAGAAAGGGAGGGGGGGTCTCCTTTCGGGGGGGGGTCTCTCCCAGGCTATCTTGGAGGGCCTGGGGGGGTCTGGGGAGTGTTTGGGAGGGTTCTCCCACGGGGGGGGGTCTGAAATGGCTTGTCTTGGAGGGTCCAGACCCCCTCCCTTCTATTACGAAATCTGGAGTAGCGTGTCGCGCCGAGGCGTGGTGGGCCAGGACCGGCGGAGCGACACGCCAGGCAGCAGTTTCCGACCGTAGATGGCTCCGAAGACCGCACCGCATCGCCGATGCATCGGCCACGTCGGGATGGAGCTCTGGATCGCGCCTGCGATGCGGCGCGATCCTCGGGCCACACCTGATCTGGCCACGCTCAGGCAGCGTGGACTGGAGCCGGAAGACCCGGACCAGAGCCATGCCTGCACGGCTCGGGCCTGGGCCCAGACCTTGGCGTACACGGCCTCGCAGCCGGGCCAGTTCGATGTCTGCCAAGGGGTTCAGGATCAGATCAGGCCTGGACATGGCGGATGCGTCTCTTGTCGCCCCAGGACTTCCTTGCCACCTCAGGACGCTCCTCGCCACCCCAGGATGTCAAACACCACGGGCCACCCTAAGACCCTCCTCCCCCTCCTCTCCCTCCTCATCCACCTCTCCCTCCTCCCTCCTCCTCCTCCCCCCTCCTCCCTCCCCCCCCTCCCGCCCCCTGAGGATAGGGACTGTGACGACTCAGCCCTGGAACACCCAAAACATTCCCCACCTACAGACTCTGGTGAAACGTCTACAAGAAATATCCTCCTCCGCCTCCTCCTCCTCCTCCTCTAAACTCCCCTCTTCCCCCGTGCCTCTCCTGTCGCGGATGCATTCTATCTCCCGGCTCCTGCAGCACATATCCGCCCAGAGGGCTACGGCCTCTGCCCACCTGGCGACGGAAGCTGGCTCCTCCTTCTCCTTCTTCTCGTCCTCCTCCTCCTCCTCCTCCTCCTCCTCCTCCTCCTCCTCCTCCTCCTCCTCCTCCTCCTCCCTGCTCAACATCCCTCCTCCCGCTCCTGCTCCTCGACCTTCTCCCTCTCCCGCTCCCACTCCCGTCCCTCAGATCCGCCTCTCTCTGCCCTACCCTTCCCCCCCGGCACCTTCCCCTCCCCTCCCTCCGCCCCCCTCCTGCACAATCGCTCAACCATTACACGACATGCATACTACTCCCCTATCTGCCCCAATGCTGTCCACTGCTGATGCCACCCCTCCCGCGTATTTCTGCCACACTCCAACACACAACCACACAAATCACGTGCTTTCACTCTCTGCCCTCCGCCAGCGATGTAACACCGCAGTCGCGATAGAGTGCGCACGGGGAGCGAACATAGTAATTGCACCCCGCCCTGGGGATGCGCACCACACATACCAGCACATTCAGCATGTCAGATCATTTCACCCATCGTACGTTTGTTTCAGTCGGAACATCCTCGGTATTCCCGCTGCAGCCTTTGCCACATTGCAAGGTCGATGCTGCAAGCCTATGGTTCAGAATGGCATTTTCGCACCAGGGCGGGCCGCACTCGCGGTTCCGAGTCGTTCCAAATTATTGCAGCCCCCATCAATTCCCTACCTCTGCCTTCCCCTGATCCTCCTGCTCCTCCTGCTCCTCGTCCCATCCTGATTATGCTCCCGCTCCTGCTCCTCCAGCTCCGCCTCCTCCTCTTTGTCCTCCTCCTCCTACTGGTCCCACTCATCATGCTCCTCCACATCCTGCTCATCCACCTCCTCTTCCCCCGTCGCCTCCTCCCCTCCCTTGTGCAAAGCCCCTCTGCCCGATTGCGCAGCAGACGGGAAATCAAAGACCTCTAGGGCACCGCAGACGGCAGACAGAAATGCAAGACAATGGGGATGCATGGGCTGCGCGGGAGCACCTGGACTGATACGAGGTCTCCCCTATTCTCTCCCTCGATATGGCACAGTGCAGTCGCCGTCTCTCCCGCGCACCGTTGTTGTATCAAGCATGGTGGCATGATGCTGTATGTCCAATGCTGTTCTATCGGAGCGATCTCCTCCTTCAAATATGGTGTTCCCGACGCAGCGTTGGCTACATGTCAGTGTGTACGTGTTGCTCCCGTCGTTCAGAATATCGCTCTCGCCCCGGCGCGGGCCACATGTCTGGATCCGCTTACTTCCTCCTCGCTGCCGTCTCCATCCTTCGCCATCCTCCGTCTACCACTGCTCCTTTTTGCCCCTCCTCCTACTCCTGATCCCGCCGCTGACCCTCATCCTTCCTCCATGTGGTTTCTAGTGTTCATGCCCATCCTCATGCTCATCCGCCACCTCCCCCTCCTCCGACGTGCAGAGCCCCCCCCACCTCTCTGTCTCAATCCCGCGTCCCCCTAGCACTGCCCTTCCTCCCCATCCTCTTTCACCTCTTTTTCCACCCTCGTCAACCTTTGCTGCCTTTTCCTCCCTCTCGTGCTTCAACCCCCCATGCGTTTTCACCCGCCCCTTCCTTAATTGCCCCCTCCTTCCCCGATTCCCCGAACGTCCTTCTCCTCCCGTTCTCCCGCTCCCCCTCCCCCTTCTCCCCCTTCTCCTCCTCCTCCTCCTCCTCCTCCTCCTCCTCCTCCTCCTCCTCCTCCTGTTCCTCATCCTTCTCCTCCTCCTCCTCATCCTCCTCCCCTCATCCTCCGCCTGTCCCTCCTCCTCCTCCTCCTCCTCTTCTCCTTCTCCTCCTCCTCCTCCTCCTCCTCCTCCTCCCTCCTTCTCCTCCTCATACACCTCCTCCCTTTCCTCCTCCTCCTCCCTCCCTCCCTCCCCCCCCGCCCGCCCGCCCGCCCGCCCGCCCGCCCCCGCCCTCCCCTCCACAATTTCTCAATATGAATATACTCTCCCTCTTCCCCTGATGGCGTCCGGGTGATGGCCGCGCACCCTCCGCGTACTGTTTTTTTACACACAGGATGCCCGGGAAATCCCGGGAAACGACTCTCGCTGAGGCGCCGGCGGCATTTTTTCCCGAAATGCTGCTCTCGCGCCGGCGTCACTTTTTCTAAAAATGCTGCTCTCGTTGAGGCGCCGGCCTCATTTCTGCTCCCGAATCCTTCCCCTGATGGCGTCCGGGTGATGGCCGAGCACCCTCCGCGTACTGTTTTTTACACACAGGATGCCCGGGAAATCCCGGGAAACGACTCTCGCTGAGGCGCCGGCGTCTTTTTTTCTCAAAATGCTGCTCTCGTTGAGGCGCCGGCCTCATTTCTGCTCCCGACTCGTTCCGAATCGTGCTCCCGCTGCAGCGTGGGCCTCATTTTCGGATCGGTGTTTGGCCTCCGTCGTTCAGGATGGCGTTCTCGCCCCAGCGCGGGCCTTTTTCTCGCGCGCCCATCCGCCCGCCACCACCGCGCCGCACCGCCACACCACCACCACCACCACCACCACCACCACCACCACCACCACCACCACCACCACCACCACCAAGCACCACCACCACCACCACCACCACCACCACCACCACCACCACCACCACCATCACCACCACCACCACCACCACCACCACCACCACCACCACCACCACCAACCACCACCACCACCACCACCACCAACACCACCACCACACCACCACCACCACCACCAGCACCATCACCACCCACCATCACCACCACCACCACCACCACCACCACCATCACCACCACCACCACCACGACAACCACGCACACACGCACGCACGCACGCACGTGCACCACCACCCACTACGCACGCGCGCGCGGAGTCACAGGTCCGCTACGACACGCGTCCGCGGATAGAGAAAGTCAGCGCCATGGTAAGGGATGGGAGGGAGGGGTAGGACGTCAGATATGACGCGAGCGCACCTAGCTTGCCTCCCTCCCCTCCCTCCCTCCCTCCCCCCTCCCTGCCTCCGCCTCCTCACTCGAATCACCCCCGTTTCTCCTGCATCCTCCGCTGCAGAGGGCTGACCGCCCTACCGCTCGGGGGAAGCGGGGGGGGGGGGGGGCGACCCGCGCGGAAGGAGAGGGGTAGACGTGCGGAAGGGGGGGGAGGAGGGAGGGAAGGGGGAGGAGGGGAGGGAAGGGGGAGGGGAGGAGGGGAGGGATGGGGGCGGCAGGCACCAGGAGGGGAGGAAAGAAAAGGAGGAGGAGGAGGAGGAGGACCAGTGCAAACCCAAGAGTCATCAACGATATTGGAATAAACTCTCCCTCCACGCTCCCTCTTCATAGGCCCCATACAAGGGTTCATTTCCACTGAGGAAACTGCCTCGTTGGAGGGGAACCGTTTGAAAACCCTATGCCATAACATCGTTCTCGGGATTCCAAAGCCACGGATCAACCTGACTGCTGCGACTTGACGATCCTGAATCGTGCCACGAAGCCATTCCTGGTACTTCAACGCCGCGAACCAAGGTCACTGATGCACCCCGATAACCCTGAATCCTTCCAACACACCACTTCTTGTGCGCTGATCAAGGGAACCCGTGAAACGCTTGCAAATAAAAAACGAGCGTGCGCGACGCTGAAGCGAGAGCCACATTTTGAAAAGCAACCACCCTCAATCCGAGAAGTTCCTGCAAATGTTTAAAACGAACGCGCGCGGCACTAAAGCGATAGCCACATTTTGAAAACCAACCGCCCTCAATCCGTGAAACTCTTGCAAATGTTTAAGACGAATGTGCGCGGCGATAAGGCGAGAGGGCCACATGTTGAAAAGGAACCGCCCTCAATCCGAGAAACTCTTACAAATGTTTGGAACGAATGCGCGCGGCACTACGGCGATAGCCACATTATGAAAACCATCCGCCCTCAATTCGTGAAGCTCTTGCAAATGTTTAAGACGAGTGTGCGCGGCGCTAATGCGGGAACCACATTTTGAAAACGACCGGCCCTCCATCTGTGAAACTGTTGTCAATGTTTAAGCTTCAGGGTCATACATGGCCCTGGGGTGCCACAGGGAGCAGTTATGTATAAGGACAAAAATGGAAGAGGAGAAGGAGAAGAAGATAGACTCACTCAGAGGGGAAAGAACATAAGGAAGAACTGGGGGGGCCTGCTGCCGCGGTCACAGGCGTTGATCGCAACACCGAATGTGACTTCGTCCATGCGCAGGGAGCCGCGGCGCATGGTGGAGAGCAGCCGGAACGCGTCGGCCCACGCGCTCCCCTTCTCGCACGCGCTGAGGGTGGCATTGTACATCACAGCATCTGGCGTGAGGCGGTCTGACTCCGCGTCCTTCAGCTGGTCCAGTGCTGCTCTCCACTGGGCTCCACGCGAGAGCGCGCTTATGACACTGCTGCGCGCAACAATATCCAGCCTGGACTTGATGCTATCCTTGGCAATGCTCCAGGCATCTAATGCCCGCGACCACTGAGAACCCCTCTCGCAACAAGCTATGACGTCGCTGTGCGTGAATGAGTTGACCTCGACGGCACGCAGGACCATGTCGCCAAGAATGCACAAAGCATGCTGCCAGCGAGCGCCCCTCTTGCAAGCGCTGACCGCCGTGCTGCAAACAATAGTGTTCACCTCGACCGAGCGAGACGCCATGCAGCCGAGAACATCCAACGCCTCTCTCCACCTGCCGCCCCTCGCGTACGCGTCGATGATGGCGCCGTAGTGGAAGGCGTTTGTCTCGATCCCCTCTGCCACCATCCACTGGTTCATGGCAACGGCGGTCTGTGTGAACCCGGCCCTCGCGAGCCTGTTGAGCAGCCACGTCGCCAGACGCGGCTCCAGGCCCGCCCGCCCCTGGGCCGCGCCGCGGCCGAACCTGCGCCGCAGCACTGCGGCGACGCCGTCGGGCTGCGGCTCGGGCCCGAGGCTCATTACCAGCCTGGAACATGTCCCTATCCCTATGCTGGGCATCTCCTCATCGCGATGCCAATCTTAGGCATTCCCTTAGTTCTTCAGGGCGCACCCCCAAGATTGTCATCGCCTTTTGGCGTGCCCATCTTAGGGATAGGGATAAGCTCGAGGCTGGCAAGCTCAGGAGAGCCTGCAACGTCTGGCTCTCGCCCCTGCCGCCCGGAGCACCCGCGGCAGGCGCCCGCCGGCCCTCCGGCGCGCGCCGCCCGAGCGGGGCGCCAGACGCGGCCCGGCACCCGCGCCTCGGCAGGGGCCCGCCGGCCTGCGCTCCCGGCCACCTGAGATCGACCACACGCAAGAAGTGGCCCTGGGCAAGGGTGACGGCGAAGGGTCACTCCTCTACATGAACCTGTTTCTTACACACCAGCAAGTTTACTTGCATGGACGGGTGGGTGGGGGGCTGAACCTGAAGGAAACCGCAAACGACTAGCACTTGCGGAAATCACGCCAGTGTTCATGTAAAGAGGGGTGGGCGAGGGCAAGGGTGACATGTAGGTGGCCTGGAAATGGGCACCAACACCGTACACGGGGGGGGTGCCTCCACAGGGGGAAGACGATCCTAGGTTTCGGTGCCGGTGGCAACATTTCGGCCACCTTGGAAGCCAGAATTATTACCACCATCGCCGAGATCGGGATCTTCTTCCCTCGGTAGATGCACACCGCCGATATTGGTGTTGGTGTCAATCTCTGGGCCTGCGAGACCTCTAATGCGCGGCTCCTTGGGGGCCGCGGAGGGACCAAGCACAAGCGCGCAACCCTGAGATCGACGTCCCGAAAAAACTGCGACGTCGTACAAAATTGGATGCCCGGAGCCTTAGACCCCATCCTTCTGCATCATGTTTCGAGCCGGATAGGTCCGTGAGGGCCCAGGGCCCGAAACTGGGCGAGAACGCCCAGCTCGAAAAATGGAGTCGCCAGGAGGACGATCATGCCGCATCGCGCTCAGCGATCGGGAGACCCCAATGGGCCCGCACCAAAGGTCACTCCGGCGAAGGGTCACTCCTCTATATGAACCTGTTTCTTAGACTCCAGCAAGTTTACTTGCATGGACGGGTGGGTGGGGGGCTGAACCTGAAGGAAACCGCGAACGACTAGCACTTGCGTAAATCACGCCAGTGTTCATGTAAAGAGGGGTGGGCGAGGGAAAGATCTGGGGGGGGGGGGGGGGCGAACGCCATGCAAGTTAAGCTTGCCTGAGCACATGTGGGGTCGAAACCCGGATAGCAGGGCACCTGAAGGGCGTGGAAAGGCCTGGCGAAGAGCTCTGGAAGGACCTGGAGAGAGCATCCGAAGGACCTTCTGGAGAGCTTTCGGGCACGCGTATTCTTAGAAAAGGCCTGTCGGGACACGCCCAATCTCACAGCCTGCGCTGGGGAGCCTGGACCGACGCCGGAACGATCTCCGGGGATCCAGGGATACCCAGCCCTGCGGCTCAAGCTTCTGCATTTGAAACTAATTCTCAACGAGCTATCCGGTACCCGGTAACTTATATATATATATATATATATATATATATGTGTGTTCATATGGATATGAATATGGACATGTATATGTATATGGTATATGTATATGTATATGTATATATTTATATGTATACGTATATGTATATGTATATGTATATGTATACGTATGTTTATATGTGTATATGTGTATATGTGTATGTGTATGTGTATGTGTAGGTATGTACGTATGTATGTATGTCTGTATGCATGTATGTATGTATGTATGCATGTATGCATGTATGCATGTATGCATGTATGCATGTATGCATGTATGCATGTATGTATGTATGTATGCATGTTATGTATGTATGTATGTATGTATGTATGCATGCATGTATGTATGTATGTATGTATGTATGTATGTATGTATGGTATGTATGTTATGTATGTTATGTGTGTTATGTATGTTATGTATGTATGTATGTATGTATGTATGTATGCATGTATGCATGTATGCATGTATGCATGTATGCATGTATGCATGTATGCATGTATGCATGCATGTATGCATGTATGTATGTATGGAATGTATGGAATGTATGTATGTATGTATGTATGTATGTATGTGTGTGTGTATGTATGTATGTATGTATGTATGTATGTATGTATGTATGTATGTATATATGTATGCATGTAGGTATGTATGTATGTATGTATGTGTATGTATAATTATATATATGCCCCTTCCCAAAAAAAACGTGCAGTAGACCTCCAGCGTCCCGCCCCCGGAGGCGACAGGCCGCGCGGGGCCGCTCGCCTCCGCAGCGGCCTCGCTCGCGACATCCGCCCCGCGCGCCGGTCGCGGCGCCCGGGGGCCCCCGGAGCCTCATGGCTCGCCGCCGCGGCACCGAGTGGTCCCCAGACCTCCACCGAGGTGACTTTTCTCGTCCGCGGCCGCCGATCCCTGGGGAGGAGATATGCAAGCGTTTTCTGATTCGGCGTTTCGACATTGGGCGAAAGGGGGGGGGGGGGGTTCTGGTGAATCTGGACCTCTGCTGAGTGCGACTGTTTGCAGCAATGCGTCCGATGGGGGAGGGGCTCCACCTGCTCGAAACAGGCGCCAAAAGCAGCCAAGACCTACCCCAAGGGGGGGAGGGGGGAAATGCCAGGGCCCGCGCCGATCGGCAACACAACAAATAAAAAACGACCACTATCCTGGCGATTCGATTTTTGTTCGGGAGCTGGGCGGCTTCGCCCAGTCCCGCGGGCCCCGGGATCGATCCGGCGCGCACAGTGGCGCAGAAGGATGGGGTCTGGGGCCCTGGGGCTCCAGTCGTGACTGTTCGCGATGTCTCTAATTTTTGTTTTGTTGATTTGTTCAATCCGCGGCCTCAAATCCCTGGAGATATCCTGACGTCTCGATTTTTCTTTGAAGCCGGGCGCCTTCGCCAAATTTCGGGCCCCGGGACCCTCGCAGATCGATCCGGCGCGAGAAATAGCGCATCAAGATGCATGGGATCCGGGGCTCCAGGCGTGGATTTTTTTTGCGGTGGTGCTATTATTTCGAGACGTCGGATCTCAAAGAATGGTCCCCAAAACTCCGCCGATGTGATTTTTCCCATCCGTGGCCCCAGGTCCCTGGCTCGCCATCGCTCGGACGTCCATTCCGCGTGCATTTTTCGATGTCGTGCGTGTTTTTCTTTTTTTGCTAAATGATCACAGATGCTCCTCGATGGTCCTCGCCCCGAAAAAAAATGCACACGTCCGAGCGATGCCAAGCTGGAGATGGCCTGGCGACTCGATGTCTGTTGGCTTCGCCCAGTCTCGGGCCCCCGGCAGCCTCACGGGATCGATGCTGCGCAGGCGGGCAGGGTCCGAGGCGCCAGCCGTGACTCTCCGGCGATGTCTCAGACGTCTCGGTTTTTTGTGATATTTTCCTGAAGTCAGGCGTGTCCCCCTACAGGGGGATTGTCGACGATATCTGTAAAACATGCTCGAAACAGATTCCAACATGGCCAAAACATACTCCAACAATAGTCCCCGCATTACTTTTTGACTGCTTTTGAATACTCCTCCTGAAGAGGGACGGGCCTGCCTTCGTGCTTTCCGTCCGCGGCCCCAGAAGCCCGGAGATCCTGGCGGCTCGATCTCCTGTGGAGCTGGGCGGCTTCGCCCAGTCTCGGGCCCCGCGGGGCCCTCTCACAGATCGATCCGGCGCGCAGAGTGGCGCAGAAAGATGAGGTCCGAGGCTGCCGTGGAGACTTCTTTGCGATGCCGCAGTTGTTCCCCACACCCAAGGTGGGGCTCTTGTTTTTTCTGCCCCCCCCGCGCAAGAACAAAAACAATAACAATCGCAACCCCACTTCATCATCATCATCATCATCATCATCATCATCATCATCATCACCATCAACATCAGCATCACCATCACCATCACCATCACCATCATCATCATCATAAGCAACATCATCATCACCATCACCATCGTCATCATGATAATCACCATCATCATTGACAGCGTCATCATCAGGAACAGGAGCATTCCAACAACATCATCATCATCAGCAGCATCATCAGGAACATGAACGCACTAATCATCATCACCAGCAGCATCATCATCATTATCATCACTCACTCACTCATTCAGTCTGGTCACCATCATCATCATCATCATCGTCGTCATCATCATCATCACTCACTCACAAGCTCGCACACTCATCAAGATCATGATGGTGACAACGACCACGATCATCCTCATTCACTCATTCGCTCCTCACTGAATCACTCGCTCACTCACCTTTGGGCTCCTGAGGCGTGAATCTGGAGGAAATCTCAAGCGGGGTCATTGCGAGGAAGTCTCAGGCGGGAGCCCGCTCCCATGGGGCCCGCGCCTCATGCTGTTAATCCGAGGCGGTCATTAGAAAACCTACAACTGTCGTCACTTTCGGGCCCGTGAGGCTTGAATCTAGAGGACGTCTCAGGCAGGAGCCCCGTCTGCAAGTGAATTGAGAAGAAGTCTCGGGCGGGAACCCCCTCCCTATGTGGGGCCCCACCTTATGTTTTTAATCCCAAGGGATCATTCGCAAACCTGTAACTTTCATCCCCTCTGGGGCCCTGAGGCTTGAATCTAAAGGAAGTCTCAGGCGGGAGCCTCGTCCATGAGTGAATTTCCATGAATTTTTAGACGGGGGCCTCCTCGTCGCTAGCGGGAGCCCCCCTCCATCCCCCTCCCGATAGGGCCCGCAAATCACATTCGAATCCGAGGTGGACCATTGGAATCTTGTAACTGTCGTCACTTTTGGCTCCGTCAAGCTTGAGCATGGTAGAAGTCTCAGGCGGGAGCCTCGTCTGTGAGTGAATTGCGAGGAAGCCTCAGGTGGGACCCCCCTCCCTATGGGGCCCACAGCTCATGTTTGAATCCGAGGCGGGCAATCGGAATCTTGTAACTGTCGTCACTTTGGACTCTTGAGGTCTGAAGTTGGAGGAAGTCTCAGGCGGGAGCCTCGTCTCAGGCGGGAGCGCCCTTTCGAAGGGCCCCGCACTTCACGTTCGAATCCGAGGCGGGTCATGCGCTTACTGTAGCACCCCAAGGAGGCAACACGTGAGGATGTATGGCGCGATGACCGAAGGGTTCAGTGTTATTGGCACTGCACGGGGTTATGACGATGACGATGACGAGACGGCGGCCGGGCACAGGGGGAAACCCTTGCGTCTGGACAGCAGGTGGTGGCCAATCCGCTGCCGAAACGGGCTCAGGGGGAAACCCTTGTGTCCGGGCCGCCGGTGGTAACCCATCGGCGACCGAGCCGGACGCAGGGGGAAACCCTTGTCTCTGGGCCGGCGGTGGTAACCCATCGTCGGCCGACTCGGGCGCTGGGGGAAACCCTTGCGTCTGGGCTGGGGGTAGTAAGCCATCCCCAGCCAAAGCGGGCAACTCATCGGTAACTCATCTGCAAGCCGGCCGCGCAGGATCTCTCTCCTCCCCCTTCGCTTCCTCACCATTCACCCACACACTCAAACACTCATATCATCATCATAGCATCATCAGCATCGCCATCATCATCATCGTCATCCTTACCACCACCACATCATCATCATCATCATCATCATAATCAGAATCATCATCATCATCAACATCATCATCCCTTATACACGCACACGCACTCCCTCGATCACCCTCGTTCACTCATAACTTACTCACTAACTATCCCACTCACTCACTCAGTTCTCCTGAGTGGCTCACTCACTCACTCACAACTACCACGGGGTGAACTGCGAGGGAATCTCAGGCGGGAGCCCACTCCGTATGGGGCCCGCAGGTCATGTTACGAATCCGAGCGGGTCATCGGGATCCAGTAAATGTCCTCACTCTTGGCCTCCTCACGCCTGAATACTTACGCAGGCAAGAAGATTTTCCTTTTGAGCCCGAAATGTCGGAAGCGACGCGCCGCTCAGGAGAGCGGATACATGTAGCGTTGTCTTCGGCTTGGGGCGTGCCATATGTTGTACAAGAATATGCGGGAATTGGCCGGGCCCGCTGTAGACCCCCCGTCCCCCGTATAATCGCAGCTTTGGTCAGCAGATCCACAATTCCGTGGATAGCATGATGTCTCACGCGCGGTGCCCCGCGGATCGCATTCCCCCTGGGTCCAGGATGTAACTTACTACTATATATGTACTCCTGGAAGATAAATGAATCCATCGGTTCTTCACACACGGGAAATTGGATCCGCGCAGTACATATATAGGATCCACGGCACTGTCGCACACCCGAAAAAATGATCCAATTGGATCCATCGGTGTTTTCATAATTTAAATTCAAGAAGAACAAACTTTCGGCCTGGGGATGTATGCGGGAAATATCAAACGGGAGCCTCGTTTATGAGTTAATTGCGAGGACGTCTCAGGCGGGAGCCCCCTCCCTAAGGGGTCCGCACCTCTTGTTGGCAATCCGAGCGGGTCATCGGGATCGTGTATCAGTCGTCACTTTTTGGTGTCCTCCGGACTGAATAAGGAGGGAATATCAATTGGGAACATCGTCTGTGAGTGACTTGCTATGAAGTCTCAGGCGGGAGCGCCCTGCCTATGGGGCCCGCATTTCATGTACTAATCCCAGCGGGCCATGGGGATCCTGTAGCTGTTTTCGCGCTTGGCTTCCTCAGGCCTGAATGTTGAAGAACTCTCGAGCGGGATCCTCGCCTGTGAATAAATTGTGCGAAATTCTCAAGCCGGAACACATCCCTATGGTACCCAAAGGTCACGTTACTAATACGAGCGGGTCATCGGGATCCAATAGCTGTCGTCACTTTTGGCCTCCTCAGGCCTGAATGCGCAGGAAATATCAAGCGGGTGCCTCGTCTGTGAGCGAACTGCAAGGAAGTCTCAGGCGGGACCCCCCTATATGGGGCCCGCACTTCATGTTTGCATTCCGAGCGGGTCATCGGAACCTTGCAGCTGCCGTCAACTTTGGCGTCCACAGGCGTGAATGCGGACGAAGTCTCAAGCGGGAGCCTCGTCGGTGAGTAATGTGTGAGGAAATCATAGGCGGGAACCCCCTCCCAATGGGGCCCGCACCTTGTGTTGGTAATCCGAGCGGGGTTATGCAAATCCCGTGACTGTCGTCTTTGGGCTCTTCGGGCCTCCCTCGGAGTACGATGGGCGCGCGCCAGGCCAGCTCTCTCGCCCCCGCTACCTACCGCAGGGAATCTGGCTGCAAGCGCACGGCTTCAAGGAGTCTCCGATCTACCAGGATGTGGCCGAACTGCTGCGACTGGGCGCCGAATGCGCCGACGACGCTGGCGAGGCCGAGGCGCGGGCGAGGAGCTTGCTCATGCTCAGGCTCAGCGAACAGGAGCTCACGTGGCAGAGCTCGGGACTGCACGTCGTGCGCCGCTTGGGGTTCACTCTGACGCACGCGCCCAATCACGCCTCCACGTTGTCGCAGGGCCAGACGCTGCGCAAGGGCGTCACTATCGACTGCGCGGGGGACGAGGACGCTGGCCGCACGGGCATGTCGGACGAGCAGTGGTGGCTGCACCTCTACGTCATGTTCTGCCGCGCCACGTGCATGCGGAACGCGTTGATCCCGCGGCCGCCCTCGCGCGAGTTTCTGGGGCGCGGGCCGCCCGCATCCTTGCCGAAGACGCTTAAGAAATTCAATGAGAAAACAAAGACCTCCAGGGGTGAGGCGGGGCAGCTCGCAGCACGGCTGGGCTTTGCGCTGCCCCCCGCCTGAGCGCGACCGCGCCTACCTCGAGGCCTGCGGAGTTGTCCCAACGGCCTGTCCCGCGGGGTCCCGACGGCCTCCCCGCGCCCCAGCGGCCCGTGGGGTTGCCCCAAAGGCATGGCCCGCGGGGTTGCCCCCAATGCTTCGTGATCCACCCGTCGGGAAACGCGCGCGCGCTGGCTGAGGCGGCGACGGCGCCGAGGAAAATCGATTTGCTTGCCCCGACCAGGGAGGAGGGGAGGTGCACATGGAGGAGAGGCAGGAGGAGGATGAGGAGGGGGGGGGACAGGGCGAAGGGCAAGCTAAACAAATTCTCATGCGGGGTCTTACCCTCGGAGGAATTGTTCGAGACGTCGGATCTCAGGGGAGGTCCCGACCCCCTCCTGCAGGGGTGTTTGTTTGGTCCCCGATCTATTTTTTCTGGACCCCGCGGGCCGATAACGGGCCCCGGAGGCCGAAATCCGCGAGAAACCGCCAGATTGCAAAAAAACAAATCCTCGGATCTCTGGGCTGCCGGCGCCCGGGGAGCCCGTCGGGCACAGAGAAACCGGGCAACTGGGCCGCCTGCGGCTCACGCGCGGCCGACGCGCGCATAGTAAGTTCCGGCAACCCTGGACCCAAAGATGCTGTCATCTCTTCTGGAAGGCAGCTCTTTGCTTCCGCCAGCCTCCGCCGCTCTTCCGCCTTGCTCCGCCGGCGGAGGCCGCCCCGCTGGACCTCTGCTGGCCTCCGCCGCCCCTCTCCGACGCCCTCGAGCCGAGGAAGAGAGGACGGCTCCCTCGATCCTCGAAAGGCCGGGCCCGCGCTCTGGAGCGCCCCGCACACGGCGCAGCGGACGCCGCCCGCCGAGCTGCGGAGCCCACGCTGCCGCCCGGGCCGAGAGAGAGCACGGGCCAGGGCCCGGCTCGGCGAGGGGGCCCTGGCGAGGAGGCGGCTGCGGCGGTGGCGCGGGGGCGGCGCGGCCGCGAGGAGTGGGCCCGGGCGAGGCCGCGGGGCCCGCAGGCACAGCGTGACGCGGGCGACGCGCTGCGGGGAGCACGGGCGAGCCAACGGCCAGCCGGGAGCACCGACCGGTGAAGTCAGAGATCCAGGGGCCAGCTGGCAGCTCCAGTCTGCGCCTGCACGAAGCATCCCCGTTCCCTCGTCCTCCTCCTCCTCCTCTTTCCCCGCTTCCCCCTCCTCCTCCTCCTCCTCCTCATTCTCCTCCGCCTCCTCCTCCTCGTCATCCTCCATGTCACGATGACGCACAACAGCACCGGACCGTTATAGGCACTGGTTTTTCCGAACCGCCCTTGCATGCACTTTCTTTCTCGACTCTTCCCTCCCGTACCCTGTCGGACCTTAGCAATGAGCGCGCCACGGAAGGTTGCCCGATCCTCGCGGACGTACACGAAGATCGCCAAGCCCACCATTCCGTAGCTGCAAACATTTGTGAATGAACCTCCAGGGTGCAGGCTGAGCCGCCAGCATGGACACCCATGATAAGTACATCAGGCATCAGACGTTGTATCACTCACATAGCTTGCTGATTCAAATTTTCGGACGCGCGCGCCTACACACAAACATACGTACGTGACGAATGTTCACCATACAGATGCCGCTGCAATCTCGCTGCGGTAATCCAGGAGGTCCGTGTGCCGAGACCCTTCCTCGCTACATCTACCATGTACAATGTCGAGTATCGGGGACCTCCAGACTGAAGAAACAACTTGACTCTTCTTCCCAAGGAGGCATCACTGGAGCAGCACACTTGCAACACACGCTAGGAACATCTACGACGAAGATGTATGAAACCCTCTGAGACGTGCAACGAAGATGGGACAGATAGACTGACCGAACACATGACACGGACGGTCAAAGCAGGGCAACTAATGCATTTGTGTCTTTGAGCGCGCGTCCCGCGTGCTCCTCCCTGCCAGACTCCCTTTCCCAAGCCAACACATGGCCTGACAATTCCTCGCTCGGCGGTGCTCTCAAATGCGGAGCGCGTGCTTCCGCTTACTCAGCGTCGCTCCCAAACTAGCACCCGGAAGCACATGGCGCATGCTCTGCTCGTCAGAGCCGGTCTCGGCACCCTCCACTTCTTGATTACGCGTGCCCGCGTGAACACGCCCACGCCGAAGTGCGGATGAGGTCCCACCGCTGCGCGCAAACACGCTGGGGCTGGGGGAGCGTCTACGTGGCAGGTGTGCTCTGGGCCCCCGAGACTGTGCTCGGCGAGGGGCGGGAGACGGGGAGGGACGCCGAGAAGCAAAGGCTTGGATCAACCTCGTCGGAGGCGGATGGTATGGCCCCGACTCAGCGGCTTGGAGGGCGATTGAAAGCACGGGATGCCAGAGACTTCGAAGTGAGGCCGAGGACGTCAAACCAGAGTATGTGGCCTGCTGCTCCTACTCCTTCCACTCCCACTCCTGCTCCTTCCACTCCTCCCACTCCTCCTTGTCCCTCTCCACCCACTCCTTCCACTACTACCACTCCTCCTTCTCTTCCTCCTCCTCCTGCTTAGCGACACGGATCGCGTCATGATGCCGAGGCCCTCAAAGCACCAACACAGGGCGACGTCGAGGGACATCGAGCGACTGCTCCACCTCCTCCCACACTCCTCGTGCTGCTGCTGCTGCTCGTGCTGCTGCTCCTCCTCTTCTACCTCTCATCCACCTCCTCCTCCTCCTCCTCTTCCTCCTTCTTCTCCTCCTTCTCCGCCGCTCCGCTTCATCCCAAACACACCACGTCTTGAAACAAACAGAAGACGGACAGGTCTCGCTGGTTTCGGCAGACGCAAGCCGATTTCGGCCTCCAGGAGCGTCGAACAACTACTAAGAATGAAGAGCTGGCCCTGTGGAAAGGACAGGCAACCCCGAAGTCCCAAACAAACCAGACATATACTGTCTGAGTCCTCCTCCTCTGCTTCATCATTGCCCGTCTTCTCCTCGTCCGCATGCTGCTGATCCACCTCTTTACCTTTTAAAAACATGTTTCCTGTCGCGCCACCAGACGTGTCGGCAGGGCGGGCTGGGCGTTTCGCTTGCGACTTGCTTACCATTCAAGACCCTGGAACTTGGAATCTTTTTTTTCTATATGCCAGCGTGCCGGGACGCCCTTGCGCCTGGCGCCGCGCTTCGGTGGATCGTGCACCCCAAGGTCTGGCAGATGGACCGCAGCGCTTGCCCTTGGGGCGCTAGGAAAAGCGATGCCTTCTGCGCAACCTACGCCATGCCGTGTTGCAGTGGACGGGTGGCCAGAACAACAGCAAACACTTCGATTCGCTGTCTGAAATCAAAAATGCAGCACGCCAGAGCAGAACAGCTACAATAGAGGGTAATGAGTCGACTTCGGCGACCACCACCCCGGCGACTTCCGCGAAACATTCGGTATGTGTCTTATTTGTGGGTGTTAATTTATGGTAGGTTGTGCTTTGATTCATACCAGCAGGGCATCCTGCCTCTGCGCGCAGGCCCTCGCGGCAGGGTAGTCCCGCAAGGCCGCCGCCATCCTGTGCTCGAGATCGGCTAAGCTCGTACTCGCCGGGCTCGCCGGCACAGAACTCACCGATGGAGAGAGGGTGCCGTCGAAGTTCACCGTGACCGCGTCGATGTTGACCTCGCCTGTCGGCCGCTTGGTGAACATCAAGCCCACGTTTGGCGGTGTCGGGCCGACACTGCCCGCGTAGTGCAACGGAGTCCATGTCAGGTTGAAGAGCACCCGCAGAGGATCAAAATTGGTGTCGCTCATTGAAAATATGTGGGCGTAGCCGGGCGGGGTGCCCTTCCAAAGCTGGTGCAGCAGGGCCCGCGCGATGCCAACGCCGTTCGCAGCCTTCAGGCTGGGGCCGGTCTCGACCTGATGAAGGTAAGCCTCCCAGGAGTAAAGAGGGAAGAGCTCCTCGATACTAACGTTGAGCTCCTGGCCGCCGAAGGTGATGGACCTCCCGTCGGGGTCGACGCCCGAGGCCTTCGCGTAGAACAGCTGCTGCGCGAAATACTTGAGCGCAGAGGCGCTGCCCCGGACCCGCGGCTGCCCCTCCTCGGCGCTCCAGGAGACGTCCCGCGTGTAGCTCGGGGGCATGAGCTCCATGATCGTCTTATTCCCCACTCCGATGACGCTCTTGAAGCTCTCCAGCATCGCGCCCCACCTGGCGGGGTCCACCTCTGGAGGCGGCCCGAGGCCGCCGGGCATGGGGGTGGTCTCCAGGAGGCGCCGCGCCTCGTCCATCTGGACGGCCTCGTCGGGTACGGGGCAGCCGCGCGCCGAGGCGTTGGCGAAGATGACCTCATCGGTTTCCATCCTCCACGCCTGGGGTCGACCGCTGTAGATGCCCGCCATGACCGCCTGCGCCGTCTGCACCTTCCGCATCACGCCGTCGTTCGTGACGGAGACCCTCCCCGGCCTCAGGCCGTAGCGGTCTCTGAGGAACTGCCCGACCACGTTGCTGGTGATGGCCAACCCCCCTCCCGTGCACCACTTGTCCGGCGAGTCCCAGTCGGGGGCGGGCAGGGACGAATACGCCTGGTACTCTGGCTCTGGCTCTCCTGTGCCCCGGACGCAGTGCCTCATGAGGTAAACGTGGCTGCAACCCTCACAGCCTCGCTGGTTCAGCTGGCGCTCGGGTGTCGCCTGCTCTGCACCACCCCCCTCAACCTGCACGGCGTCCTGCCCATGACGCCCATGCCCACAGTGCGCCAGCCAGGCGGCCAAGAGCGCAGACCGCATCACCAAACTCGGCGCTGCACAACAGCAGCGGCCACTGATCCGCGACGCCACTCTTGGGCCGAAACGCCTTGAGCCAAAATGGCTACGGACCCTGGAGCTTGGAATCTAAAACAGCCTCAAACATCGACGGGGGGGATTTGAAAATGTGCCTCTCGCCTTCGCGCCGCGAACATGCGCCTTAAAGGTTCACATTCGCTTCACAAGCAAGGGGGGGCGTTTTCAAAATGGAGCTCTCGCCTTCACGCGGCGCACATTCGTCTTGAAGTTTGCAGCGACTTCAAGGATAGATACAGGCCTCGGAAAAGAATAGCGAACACTCATGCCACATTCAGCTGTGAACGCCTCCGCCTCCCCCCAATGTTCAGAGTTGGCGGTGGGTCTGACGAGTTGCACCTCGACCGCAGTCTCCCCCGCGCGTGCCAACCTTGAGTTTGGGGGGGCAGGGGGGGTGTTCACTAACTGTTTCCCTCTCATCGGCATCGCAGGCACGCGCGAAGAATATATGAGCTGCGAGGTGCTGGGATGCGTCAGAGGTGCCCTGGACACGGTGTCGACTTCCTCGGACGCTCCTGGAGGACCCCTTGGACACCCCTGGGGCCGCCTCCGAGGCTTCGTGGTCGCCTCTGGGGCCTTCTTCGGCCGTCTTGAAGGCCATTTGGGCCGTCTCGGGGGCCTCTTGGGGCCTTCCTCTGGGGGGTGTCCATTACTTGTTTCCCTCTCCCGTAGGGGTGGTGTCCACAGCGCCGCGCGCACTCGCCCTGAAGTTGTTGCAGCGGCTTCTCACGGACGGACCGAGGGCGGCCCCCTTTTCCAAAAGTGCGCCTCTCTCTCTCTCGCCTTTTGATGCCGCGACGCTCTGCCATATAACAGCCTGCAGCAGCACAGCGAAGGGAGGGCAGGCCCTTTCCAAACTGCGGCTCCTGCCAGAGCGCCGCGCGCATTCGCCCGCGAAGTTCGCAACAGCTCCAAGAACGGAGGGAAGCTAGTCTTCAGAATTGGCGCCGCGCGCACGTACCTGAAAAGTTCGCAAGTGCTTCAAGGATGGAGCACGGCTCCTTTTTGATATGTGGCCCTCGCCTTGGCACCGCACGTTTTCGTGTGAGCAGCTTGCAACAGTTACAAAGATGTGGGGCGGCTCATTTCCAAAGCGGGCCTCTCGCTTGAGACTTCGTTAAATCTCAAGACCAGAACCTTGAACATTTGCAACAGCTGGTCGGATGGAGGGCGGTGGCTTTTCAACATTGGCCATTCGCCGAAGACGCCTGCACATTTTTGAACCAGAAGCTTGTACAGATGCAACAGCTGCACGGGTGGATGGCGGCCCATTTTCAAAACTGGGTTCTTGCTTCAGACGTCCTCGACCCGCACGATTATACAGTAGGGGCTCGACCACAAGAAACCTTTCACAAGAAACCCAACCCTGATACCCCAGGACGTCCATTGATTTTTTGGTGTGGGCACGTCACGCTTTCCATGGAAAAACATCGAAGCCCAAGAAACCCAGGGCACCCTGGAGGCAAGCAGGGTGTTTCTTGGCATGAGCCCCCACTGTAATTCAAGGCCTGTGCACGAATTACACGGACAGGGCGGTCCTTGTTCAAAACGGGGCTCTCGCCCGAACGGCAGGCCCATCTGGTGCTGGTCGCTCAGAGGGACTCTTCTTGACGTGCAAAGGGGGGGGGCCGGCGGGGACCTGTGCGGA